AAAAGGGAAAGGCAGGGCATCCTTGAAAAGGAGGAGACTTGACCGTGAAATAAGAGGAAGAGACTTCATTGAGACCTCTGCTAACAAGAGAAGAGCGTAAAATCCTTTATGCTGCTCATTATTTTAATGGATAAGATCGTTTTGAAACTTCGGGAGTGAGTTGCAGACTTAACAGACATACTCACTTATGATCTTATGTTATTACTTTAGAGTGGAATTTCATAAAGGAAGCACACTGGAAATTATTAAAGTTGAAGCTAGATTTGAGGTTGCATAATACATATTAACATAACAGTATACAAAGTTCTGATTACTGACAGTTTTTAGAATGAATCATCCTTTACTAGAAAATACATTCATATTTTGGGATAATTTGGAGGAAGATCAGTAAGTATAAATAAAACCAGATCAAAATAATGTCCTTTTTAACAGTATGATGAGATTTGGAGACATTTTTCCCCGGAGTCAGATTTTTCTGGGGTTTTTGTTGTTGTAGTTTGTTTTAATACTGGGATACATTGTAATATTTTTAATTGTTTTCATTTAAAATATGATCTCCAATGGAAATGTGTATATTAAGGAGGTGCTCTTGGGAATTAAGATCTGGACAAGGAGCAAAACTAACTGGAAACTTACAATTTCTTGGTTCCGCGTGGACCTGTGAGGACTAGATGTTCGCATCTCACTGGGGTCTAGTTCACGCACAATGCTGAGCTAGTGTCAGGCGTGCAGCATGGTGATGCAGATGCATGTACCTGTCCTTCTTCAGATTCTGCTTCCCATACAAATTATTAGAGTACTGAGTAGGATTTCCTGTGCTATGCAGTAGGTCCTCCTTGACTCTCTCCCTGATACATAATAGCGTTTCAGTGTTAATCCTCACCTTCTAACTTATCCCTCCACCCTCACCTTTCCCCTTTGGTAATTGCAAGTTTAGTTTCTAGCCCCGTGAGTCTGTTTCTGTTTTATAAATAAGTACATTTTAATATATTTCTTAGATTCCACATATGCTTATGGGCAAATGTCATATAATATTTGTCTTTCTCTGGCTTACTTCACTTGATATGATACTATCTAGGCCATCCATGTTACTGCAAATGGCCTCATTTCATTCTTTATGGCTGAGTAACATTTCATTGTATATATGTATCATATCTTTGTCCATTCCTCTCTTAATGGACATTTAGGTTGCTTCCACATCTTGGCTGTTGGAAATAGTGCTGCAGTGAACACTGGGGTGCATGAATCTTTCTGAAATATCGTTTTCTCTGTAAATATGCCCAGGAGCGGGATTATAGGATCATATGATAGGTCTCTCTTTAGCGTTTTTAAGGAACCTCCATCCTCTTCTCCAAAGTGTTTATACCAGCTTGCATTCCCCACCAGTGGCGTATGAGGTTTCCCTCCTCTCCACACCCTCTCCAGCATTTATTGTTTGTAGAATTTTTGACGATGGCTGTTCTGACCAGTGTGAGGTGAAACCTCTTTATAGTTTTGCTTTGCATTTCTCCAATAGTTAGTGATATTGAGCATCTTTTAATGTGTTTGTTGGCCATCTTTATGTCTTCTTTGGAGAACTTTCTGTTTAGGTCTTCTGCCCATTTTTTTGATTAGGTTGTTTGGTTTTGATACTGAACTTGCAAGAGCTGTTTGTTTGTTTTGAAGATTAATCCCTTGTTGGTTGCTTTGTTTGCAAATATTTTCTCACATTCTGGGTGTTGTCTTTTTGTCTTGTTTATGACTTTCTTTGCTGTGCAAAAACTTTTAGGTTTCATTAGGTCCCAGTTTATTTTTGTTTCTATGTTCTTTATGAGGTGGGTCAGAAGAGAGAGTGGTGTGATTTTTATGTCAGAATTGTTCTACCTGTGTTTTCCTCTAAGTTTTATAAGAGTTGGTCTTACATTGAGGTCTTTAATCCATTTTAGTTTATTTTTATGTATGATGTTAGAGAATGTTCTAATTTCATTTCCTTTACATTCCAGTTTTCCCAGTACCTCTCAATGAAGAGACTATCTTTTCTCCATTATATAGTTTTGCCTCATTCAGTTCAGTTCAGTCACTCAGTCATGTCCGACTCTTTGCGACCCCATGGACTGCAGCAGGCTAGGCCTCCCTATCCATCACAAATTCCCGGAGTTTACTCAAACTGTACACTGAGTGGGTGATGCTATCCAACTGTCTCATCCTCTGTCATCCCCTTCTCCTCCTGCCCTCAGTCTTTCCCAGCATTAGGGTCTTTTCAAATGAGTCAGCTCTTCGCATCAGGTGGCCAAAGTATTGGGAGTTTCAGCTTCAGCATTAGTCCCTCCAATGAACACACAGGACTGATCTCCTTTAGGATGGACTGGTTGGATCTCCTTGCAGTCCAAGGGACTCTCAAGAGTCTTCTCCCAACACCACAGTTCAAAAACATCAATTCTTCAGTGCTTAGCTTTCCTTATAGTCCAACTCTCACATCCATACGTAACTACTGGAAAAACCATAGCATTGACTAAACAGATCTTTGCTGACAAAATAATGTCTCTGCTTTTTAATATGCTATCTAGGTTGGTCATAAATTTTCTTCCAAGGAGCAAGTGTCTTTAATTCCATGGCTGCAGTCACCATCTGCAGTGATTTTGGAGCCCCCCAAAATAAAGTCTTGTCACTGCTTCCACTGTTTTCCCTTCTATTTGCCATGAATTGATGGGAGCAGATGCCATGATCTTAGTTTTCTGAATGTTGAGCTTTAAGCCAACTTTTTCANAACATTGGGGTACATGTGTGTCTTTTGAATTGTGATTTTCTCAGGGGATATATCCATTAGTGGAATCACTGAGTCATTTGGTAATTTTATTCTGAGTTTTGAAAGGAATCTCCATACTGTTCTTCAAAATGGTTGTATCAATTTGCATTCCCACCAACAGTGCAAGAGGGTTCCCTTTTCTCCACATCCTCTCCAACATTGTTTATAGATTTTTTTTGATGATAGCCATTCTGACCTCTGTGAGGTGATACCTCATTGTAGTTTTGATTTGCATTTCTCCAGTAATGAGGGATGTTGAGCATCTTTTCATGTGTTTGTTGGTCATCTGTATGTCTTTGTTGGAGAAATGTCTGTTTAGATCTTCTGCCCATTTTTTGATTGGCTTGTTTTTCTGATGTTGAGCTACCTGAACTGCTTGTATATTCTGGAGATTATTCCTGTGTCAGTTGCTTCATTTGCAATTATTTTCTCCCATTTTGAGGATTGTCTTTTCATCTTGTTTATGGTTTCCTTTGCTGTGCAAAAGCTTTTAAGATTAATTAGGACTCATATCTTTAGTTTTGTTTTTGGTTCCATTACTCTAGGAGATGGGTCAAAGAAGATCTTGCTGCATTTTATGTCAAAGAGTGTTCTGCCTATGTTTTCCTCTAAGAGTTTTATAGTGTCTGTACTTGCATTTGTGTCTTTAATCCATTTTGAGTTTATTTTTGTGTATAGTGTTAAAAAGTGTTCTAATTTCATTCTTTTACACTTAGCTGTCCAATTTTTCCAACACTACTTATTGAAGAGACTATCTTTTCTCCATGTTATGTTCTTGTTTTCTTTGTCAAAGATAATGTGACAATAGGTGCATGGATTTATCTCTGGCCTTTCTATCTTGTTACATTGATCTATATTTCTGTTTTTGTTCCAGTATCATACTGCCTTGATGACTATAGCTCTGTAGTATAGTTTGAAGTCAGGAAGGTTGATTCCCAGCTCTGTTTTTCTTTCTCAAGATTTATTTGGCTACAAGGTCTTTTATGTTTCTATACAAATTCTAAAATTTTTTGTTCTAGTTTTGTGAAAAATGCCGTTGGTAATTTAATAGGGATTACATTGAAGCCATTGGTAATTTGATAGGGATTACATTGAAGCCATTGGTAATTTGATAGGGATTACATTGAATCTATAGATTTCTTTGGGTAATATAATCATTTTCACAATATTGATGCTTCCAATCAAAGATCATGACCCATCTCTCCATCTGTTTGTTTTGTATTTGATTTCTTTCATCAATGTCTTACAGTTTTCTGCATACAAGCATTTTGTCTCCTTAGGTAGGTTTATTTTTAGGTATTTTTTTTAATTCTTTTTGATGTAACGGTAAATGAGATTGTTTCCTTCTCCTTATCTTTAGTGGTTAGTAGATAGACATGCGGTACTTACTGTTTGCTATGTTTATAATTTTTAAATGAAGATTCTTGCTAAGTTCAGGCAAGCCTCCTATTGGATTGGCCAAACAGTTTGTTCATCTCTCAGAAAGCCCCAAACAAACTTTTTGGCCAACCCAGTATTATGCAGGTAGTGCTATTCTGAGTCTTAATAGATTTTGGCACTCAGGGGAAAGATATATATATATGTATATATATATATGCAGGTTTATAGTAGTTCTTGTATGTTTGTTGTTGGTCATTTTAATATCACTGCCTGAAGTCTTCACTTAAACATCCATTTTTCAGTCATACCTTCCCTGCTTAACTTATCTAAAATGTCACCCTTCTGTAGCATTTCATATCACATTTTTGTTTTTTTTCCTTCTTAGAACTTATCATCTAACTTACTGTATGTTATGCCTACATATCTTTAATCTGATTTCCCCATTAGAAAGTAGGTTTTGTGTGCATAAGTGTGTTTCATTCAATGCTGAATGCCTAGAACAAGCCTGGTAAGTAGTATGTATTCAGTAAATGCTTGTTTTATGAGTGCATGCTAACCATAGTCACTAATATGTCTCCTGAACTCTCATTTTATTTCAAGGTAAAATTTCTCTCTCATAGTTGTGTGTTGTTTGCAATATATCATGAATTTACATCTGAGGAAGTAATGTAAAAAACTTGTTTTTTAAAAAAATCTATTTTTGTATGTTAAATTAGAAATTTTAGTATTTGAGTAATAATTGAAATCATTTAAGAAAAACTGACACTAAAGTAAGTTTGAAATTTGGCACATGAAAACTCATTAGATCAGGATATTAAAGTCTTTTTTTGTACAGGTGCAAGTGGCATGAAGAAAATGATATTCTCTTCTGCGCTTTAGCTGTTTGCAAGAAAATTGCGTAAGTTAGGAGTGTCTTCATAATACTCTAATCTGCATTGAATTCTTTGCAACTTTCCTTGTTGCTTTGACACATAGGATGCATCACTTCACCTCTGTTTCCACAGTTCCCTTTTAAAACAAATGCTTTTTAAAATCATGTTACTTTTATTATTCTGCCCCTGTCACTACTTGTTGGATGTAGTTACCACCTGAACAATTTGACCCTTTAGAAGCACTAAAGCTGAATTTTTCCTTCTAGGGTTCCTATAGGAAAGCAAAATCCCCTACTGTCGTTAAGAACAGCACTTCCTCGTGAAGGTGCTCAAAAAATATAGACCCTTTTCTCCTCATTTTGTCAGGAAAGTATCTGCAGCCTCAGATCTGTAGGTGCTCTGTTGATCACTTTATACAGGTGCTGAATGGTTGGTCTGAGAATGAAGAAGTGTTTTAAGTTTTAACCCTCCTCCTGGTGGTGTCTCTCCCTGCCTTAAATATATGAGAATTCTGGTGATCTGTACCCTCATTCCTGTTCTCTTTAACGAGGCTGATACATTTGCTAATCAAAGTATTGCTTACCTCTGATACCCAGTTTTATATGTGCTGCTACCAATTCCCGTTTTTATTCAAATCTCTAAATTTCTTTTTCCCCAGATTTACAGTATCTCTCACATACTTTGTTATAAATTTTTAAAAAGTGACTGCTTTTTAAATGAATTAGATAAGATTCTGATAATGAACGTTTTTAATTCCTTTTTAAAGGTACTGCATCAGTAATTCTCTGGCCACTCTCTTTGGAATCCAGCTCACAGAGGCTCATGTACCACTTCAGGATTATGAGGCCAGCAATAGTGTGACCCCCANATTTTTAAAAAGTGACTGCTTTTTAAATGAATTAGATAAGATTCTGATAATGAACGTTTTTAATTCCTTTTTAAAGGTACTGCATCAGTAATTCTCTGGCCACTCTCTTTGGAATCCAGCTCACAGAGGCTCATGTACCACTTCAGGATTATGAGGCCAGCAATAGTGTGACCCCCAAGATGGTTGTGTTGGATGCAGGGCGTTACCAGGTAGGGAGCTGACTCTTGTTGCTGGTTTCTTGTGTCCTGCTCAGCGTGGTCCTGGTCCACAGCAGACAAAGAGCTTTCCGGCTTGGGTCTCTCTTCTCTTAGACGTTTTTTAATCCTTCATGGAATGTCAGTTTTTAATCCAATTGGATTTTGCATAAGATCCTTTTCTTTCATGGTATACTTTTTCCTTCTGGGGAACATTTGGCATTAGTCTTTATACAAAACACATTCAAATATTTATTCAAAATATTATATGATACACATTTTTGAAGTAGATATTTTAAATACAAGACCTGATTCCAGATTTGATTAGAGGCTAATATAATTTCCCTACCACCTCTCTTCCCTCCTTGCTATTTACTTACTCGTAGATCTTGCTATAATACTGAGAACATAGCAGTTAAGAGTGTGGGCTCTCTAGTTGAATTCCTGAATTTCAGTTCAGGTTCTGCTATACATGTAGGCTGGATGACTGCAAGTTATTTGAACTTTCTGTGCCGATTTCTTATCTGTAGAACAATAATAATAATAAGGGCCAGTAGTTGTAGGGTTAAATGTAGCAGCATATGAAAGTACTAAGAATTCTGCCGTAGAATATAGTATATAATAAATATTATTATTTTAAAATAATAAAATAGTGAAAGGGGAACCCCAAAATGGAATGAATGATTGACACAAATAACTATTAGTATCAATCTCAAAGGCAATGCTTATGCATAGCAAAAGCAGCAGTCTCAAAAGTTATATACTGTATGATTCCATTTATGTGACATTCTTGAAGATACAAATGATAATGATGGACATGTCAGTGGTTCCCAGGCAGTCGGGGAGGGTGTGTCTGTGAAGGGATAGTGTGAGGGAGGTTTTTGAGGTGATAGGATGGCTCTGTCTCCTAACTGCAGTGGTGGTTTCACAAATCTCTTTGTTAAAACTCAGAAATGTAACCCCCCCACAAAAGCCTGTCTTACTTGTGTGACAATTTCAAAATCTGGGCAAGACTGCTCTCTCTGTCTTGTTAACCCCTAGCCCAGTGATTCTTCAGTGGGGGCCAGTTTTTGTGCCGTGCAGGAGACACTTGGCAACACGTGGAGACGTGTTTGGTTGTTACAGCTGGGAATGGGGCGCTGCTGGCTTCTAGTGAGTAGGTACCAATAAGCCTGCTAAACACCTGATAATGCACAGTGGAAGAAAGTGAGAGTGAGCATCACTCCGTCGCGTCCGACTCTGTGCAACCCATGGACTACACAGTCCATGGATTCTCCAGGCCAGAATACTGGAGTGGGTAGCCTTTCCCTTCTCCAGGGAATCTTCCCAACCCAGGGATTGAACCCAGGTCTCCTGTATTGCAGGCAGATTCTTTGCCAGCTGGGCCACAAGGGACAGGACAACCTTCTAAACAAAATATTACTTAGCCTAAAAATGTCAGTAGTATCCAGGATGAGAAACTCTGCCTTAGCCCCATCATCACTGTCTGTGTTGAGACTGCCAGGTTTAGTCACATTATCCCCCCTTTCATTGTCAGCATCAGTCACTATGCAAGCTCAGGATACCTAGATCCTCGCTCATCTCCCAGACTCATCTTATTAGGCCAACTCTGTATCCAGCCCTCCCCAACTGTGTGTCTTCTCAACCTCAGCTATGAACAAAATCTTGGATCGTCAGCCTCCTCTGGGGAAGGCCTGTTTTCCTCCTCGATTCTAACTAAAATTTGACTGTCCTCTAAAGACACTGCTTCCCTGTTAGCTCTTTAAAATGGCGACATTTTTTCCCCCTCATTTATTGTGGGCCTAGATTTGAGGTGGTTGTCCTTATTTAACTTTGTGGCCTCCAGACTTCCTAACTTCTCTCTAAAATCACTAGGCTTTGAATCTCATGTCATTCAGGCTGTAGCACCTGATAACCCCTTTTTGGAGTCCTTACGCCCCTGAGTTGGACATCTTCATTCTTAGAGCAACATTGAGGCAGAAGATAAAACAGTATTGCCATCAGAATTCTTGGTTACAGTTTCCCCATAGATCTTTCTAACTGCCTGATATTTCAGTTGGTTGACTTCCCCTTCTCCAGTGGTGCTGTCTCCTGCCATCCATCAAATATCCACTCCCATGATCATATTCTAGGTCCCAGTGGCATCTTCGCGCAATCTCAATTTCAAGCATCTTGCTCTCCGACTACCACTGTCCTCCTCTGGTACCTCAGTGCCAGCAGTTCTTGTATCTTGACTGAGACCTTCTATGTCTCCACTATTCTGAAGCCCTCCTTCACAGGGTCACTGCACTGCACAGCTCTAGGGGTACCATTCACATGGACGGTGCTGCACCTTGCATCTTTCTGTCTCCTCACCTTGCCCTTCACCTCCTTCCTTCCCTTTTTAGATTCCTTGCTCTGTTATTTCCACTCACTTGCACTGTCAACTCCATTGGCCTTTCATCATAGTTGGTTAATAAACACTAGTCCTGATTAAATCAGCTTTTTACCTACTCTGTTCTTATACATTTGAAAAGAAACTACCATACTGACTGGTAGTATTTAATCTCTGTCACCACCAGCTTCAAGTGAGCCCTTAGCAGTGCATGGCAGTTGTCCATTTCTCTGGTTTAATTAATCTTCCTCTCTCCTAGGCAGTTATTTCTCATCTCTCACTTCAGACTTCCATCACCTCTTCCTTCATCCTTGTTCTAGCTGATGCTCTTATCCCCTCCTTCTCTGAGAAAGTAGAAGCAATCAAGAGGTTTTCCATGTATTCCTACCATTACATTCACCATACACTCTGCTTTAATGCATTAATTGTCTATGTTTCTAAGGCCAATCCTTTTATTTGTATATATCTCATTCTCTTACCTACCTAAGGACATGGCTCTAATGATTTTATACTTTATCCTTCATCACTAGGGTTTCTCTCTGTTCTGAGTCATTCTTATTAGGAAACATTGTATGATCTCATATTTAAAAATAAAAACCCTTTTTTATGCTGTAATTTCCCCCTCAGAGATTTCCTTCTGCTTTCCTTTACAACAGTACTCTTCAAAAGTTGATCAGACATTGGAAAGTAGGTGTTCGTTTTATTTAAGGAGTAATTTGAAGTAGATGATCCAATAATAAGAAATTAACGTTTCCCACTGTTTTTGTTTGTTGGTTGCTTTTACTTACAGAAGCTAAGGGTTGAGAGTCCAGGATTCTCTCATTTCAGCTCTTCTAGTCAAGACCAAAGATCAAACACACCCACTGGTAAGCATCACGTTTATTTTAATAAGGCACCTTAAAAAGTTAGGGTCTTTCCAAGATCCCAAGGTATGGTACTTAAACACATGTTCCAAATTGGCTTTAGGATATGAGAATCTTGAATTGGGAGTTTTACTTGTCAAAAGCACTTTTTTTGGATATGTGTGACTTTTTACCACTTTGATAAAATTTAACTTACTCTTCAGAATTTTGTTCAGGGCATTTAAAATAAAGCCCATTACTCTTGTAGCAGCTGTTGTTTTATAGTTTTGATGTGAGGGTGTCTTTGGGAAAATGAGAAAGTTTAAAAAAGCTAGTGACATGAAATTTCAAATGGTCCCTGAAGAACTTCAATTAACATTTCCGGGACTTAAAAAGAATATTCTTGTTCAGCCTTTTGGCATTTACTCTAAGAATTATCTTCCCTTTTGATGATCTGTTTAATCATGGTTTAGTGAAAGGCATGCAGTAAGATGAATCAATTGAGGACGCTGTTTATAATAAGACTGTAAAATTGCTACATTTCTTTTCTTGTATTTTTAATATCCTAGGTGACTACCCATCTGGGGTGAAAATCTCTGGCCAAAACAGCAGTGTTCGGGGAAGAGGGATTACACGCTTACTAGAGAGCATCTCCAATTCCTCCAGCAATATCCATAAATTCTCCAGCTGTGAGACTTCAGTCTCCCCTTATACATCCCCAAAACACGGATACAAATCTTTCTCTTCCTTATCTTAATGATGGTACATTTTTCAATTTCTGGAAAAATAACAGGCCCAACTTCCCTTATGACTGTAGTCATATATTAAACAGATGACATCAATGATAAATGTCATTACTATAAAAACTACTTAATTTGTAAGGAAATTCTGTTTCATGGATTAAAAATAATTGTGGTTGGAGAAGATCTTGGCATTTTTGCATTTTTCTTTAGGGCTTGTTCTACTTTCTGACTGTATTATGGGAATGCCATTAAAGTTTTGAGTCCTGTAATAAAACCAGCATTTTAGGAGTTGTGCTTTTGGGAATGTTATATTTTTGTATCTTTTCCTCCACAATAAAGGTATTGAGTATCTGTTATGAAAGATTTTAAAATAGCCTTATGTATTTCTTTCCATTATGAAATGTGGAATGGTACCCTTGAGACCAGCTCTTTTCATTGCAAATATCTAAGAAAATTAGTCTTTAACAAAAATACTTTTTCTACTTAAAGTCTTTGAAACATGCTGACTTTAGCAAAAGTCATTTGAAGAATGAGAAACCAAAGGAGATGATGTAATTTTCCCCAAATCATATGGCTGGAAAGTGACCAGATGCCAGGTTTACTTGACCACAAAGCTTTCTGCATATTCCAAGCAGATATATTTTGAGTCAGGAATTTGGCCTGTTTCTGACTGACTTAAACTGGCTCATGTTCTCTACTTGGGCTATTATATAGCCCTGGAGTAGGAGAAGAGATATAGTAACCTTTTATCTTGGAACCATAGCAAGATCATAGATGGCAGTGGCAGAAACAGCATTCTAATTTAGGTCTGTTTGACTCAAAACCCAGGAGAATTATTTGGACTCTGGTTTTTCTTAGTAGCTGTATTCTCCTTTACTACTGAGTACCTACATTGTGGAGATACACACACACACACACACACACACAGAGTTACACAAATACACACACATCTTGTTAAGTTCTTAATAACTACTCTGAAGAAGGTGACACTGCCATTCCATTTTACACACACAGGTGGCGCAGTGGTGAAGAACCTGCCTGCCAGTGCAGGAAGCACAAGAGATGCAGGTTTGATCCCTGGGTTGGGAAGATCCCCTGGAGAAGGAAATGGCAATCCACTCAAGTATACTTGCCTGAAAAATTCTATGGACCAAGGAGCCTGGTGGGCTACAGTCCATGGAGTCTCAAAGAGTCAGACATGACTGAGTGACAGACACACATACAACTCAGAGATTCAGGTCATACATCTACTTTATGGAAGAAACGTTAACCATGTCTGACTCCAAAGACCATGTTACTCATATCCACACTTTTACCTCCTTTTCATCTATCTCTGATATCAGATCTTTAAACAAGGAACAGTTATTGAATGTAATTTTATATATTGCATTTTCTACTAGCAGATTGGTTTTTAAATCTTTATAAGCTATGAGACCATTTTATCTTTCTTCAAAATCAGCACGACAGTAATTGAGTTCATTCAGTCATGTCTGACTCTGCGACCCCATGGGCTGCAGCGCGCCAGGCCTCCCTGTCTTTCTCAGTCTCCCGGAGCTCGCTCAGATTCACGTCCATTATTCTGATGCCATCCAACCACCCTGTCCTCTCCTCCCTTCTCCTCCTGCCTTCATTCTCCCCAGCATCAGGGTCCTTTCCAATGAATAGTCTCTTTTCATCAAGTGGTCAAAGTATTGGAACTTCAGCTTCAGTTTCCAGTGAATATTCAGGGTTGACTTCGTTTAGGATTGACTGGTTTACTCTCCTTGCAGTTCAAGGTACTCTCAAGAGTCTTCTCCAAACCCATAATCCAAGAGTGTAAGTTCTTCAGTGCTCAGACTTCTTCATAGTCCAACTCTCACATCCATACATAACCACTGGAAAAACCATAGCTTTGACTAGGTGGACCTCTGTTGGCAAAGTAATGTCTCTGCTTTTTAATACGTGGCCTAAGTTGGTCATAGCTTTGCTTTCAAGAAGCAAGTGTCTTTTAATTTCATGGCTGCAGTCACAGACCACAATGATTTTGGAGCCCAGAAAATAAAAGCTGTCAGTTTCTATTGTTTCCCCAGCCATTTGCCATGAAGTGATGGGACCAGATGCCATGATCTTCTTTTTTTGAGTGTTGAGATTTTAAATTTAATCAGCTTTTTCACTCTCTTCTTTCACCTTCTTCAAGAGGCTCTTTAGTTCCTTTGCTTTCTGCCATAAAGATGGTGTCATCTGCATATCTGAGGTTATTGATATTTCTCCTGGCAATCTTGATTCCAGCTCGTGCTTCATCCAGCCTGGGATTTCATATGATGTACTCTGCATATAAGTTAAATAAGCAGGGTGACAATATACAGCTTTGACATACTTATTTCACAATTTGTAACTGGTCTATTGTTCCAAGTCCAGTTCCAGCTATTGAATTCTTGACCTACATACAGATTTCTCAGGAGGCAGGTAAGGTGGTCTGGTATTCCCATCTCTTTAAGAATTTTCCACAGTTTGTTGTTATCCACACAGTTAAAGTGTTCAACATAGTCAATGAAGCAGAAGTAGATTTTTTTTTTTTAATTTCCTCGTTTTTTCTATGATTCAGCTTATGTTGGCAATTTGATCTCTGGTTCCTCTACCTTTTCTAAATCCATCCCTATGAGCATAGGGATGCATATATTTTAGGAATTACAGTTTTGTCTGGGTAGATGTCCTCATCTTCTTACAGCTTGAAGAACATGATTTCCCATCAGACATCTAGCTCCCTGGATCTCGGTTTTAGTTGTTTGGTTAAATCCCCTTACTGGTGTCTCATTATTGCATCTCACATTTTTTGATTTTGCCTGATTTTCATGTATTTACTTTTGCCATAATGTCCTGAAGCTGTGTTCTATATCCTTGACTGCTTTTCTTCTCCATGCAGTATTTTGAGTATCTTTGAACAGCGCTTCTCAACCTGTCATGTTAGTATGATCCAGTTCTGGGTCTTATTAAAATGAATACTCTGATTCAGTAGATCCAAATTATGTTCATGTCCTGAATTTCTCACGGCTGCCACAGAACACATTTTGGGTGACAAAATTTAAATTGCATTTCCAAGCTTGGTAGATTATTAAAATCACCAGAGGATATGAATACACATGACATATAGCTATAGACCCATACACATATACAGACACATAGATGTGTGTATGTATGTGAACTTATTGGCCCCAATCCAGGCATAATGGGTCAGTCCTGGACTAGTCTTATAATTATTCCTCTAGGAATAGTCTAACCCTCAGTGCCTCCTAGAGGCCCCATATTCTAATGTCATTGCATTGGGAGCTAGGGCTTCAACAAACAAATCTTGGAGGGACCCAGTTCAGTACAGAGTAATCAGTGTCTGAATTGACGCTGAATGCCAGCGTCTCAGAGTGGAGCAGATGGGTCCAGAACAGTGGTTCCGATTACCTTACGTGGAGACGATCTGAAGCACACCAGTTGTGAGTCACACCCTGTGTCCCTTCACTTGGGAGGGAAGTTCAGGGCTCCCTGGATGTCAGCTGTGACTCAGAGCCTCCTTCCCATTTTGTGATGTTCAGCACATGTGCAGTGGNGACTCTTGAGAGTCCCTTGGACTGCAAGGAGACCCAACCAGTCCATCCTAGAGGAGATCAGCCCTGGGGTTCACTGGAAGGACTGATGCTGAAGCTGAAACTCCAATACTTTGGCCACCTGATGCGAAGAGCTGACTCATTTGAAAAGACGCTGATACTGGGAAAGATCGAGGGCAGGAAGAGAAGGGGACGACAGAGGATGAGATGGTTGGATGGCATCACCGACTCAATGGACATGGTTTGGGTGAACTCTGGGAGTTGGTGATGGACAAGGAGGCCTGGCGAGCTGAGGTTCATGGGGTCGCAAAGAGTTGGACATGACTGAGTGACTGAACTGAACCCCTTGTATCTATTTGTCATTTCCACTGTGTAATGACAGTAATTGGGTTGCTGAAAAAAATATCTTTGTTGAAGATCAGTGGGCTGTATTCATCTGGGTCTGTTTATGTAGTTCTGTTCCGCTGATCTAATTGTCTATTATTTCAATAGCACACACTTTTTATTACTCTAGCTTTATAGTAAACGTTGAAGTAGGATAGAGCGTCTTCCAACTTTGGAGTTGTATTGGGTCTGTATTGTCTATTGAGTTGGCTGGTTCTTTTGCTTCTCAATATGTAGTTTAAAATCAGTTTGTTGATATTCACAAAATAACTTTCTGGGAGTTTGAGAGGGATTGGCCAGAATCTGTAGATCAATGTTGGTAAGAACTGCCCCTTTGACAATATTGAGTGTTCCTATTTGTGAACATGGAATCTCTCTACATTAATTTAGTTCCATCGGAATGTTATATTTTTCTTCATATCTTATACACATTTTTCTAGACATATCTAAGCTATTTCATTTTAGGGGGTACTAATGAAATAAATTTTTTTATATTTACAGAGCTTTTACAGGAATTTTATTATTTTAAATTTTTATTGAAGCATAGTTGATTTACAATGTATTTGTTTCTGCTGTACAACAGTGAGTCAGTTACACTAATAAATACATCTCTCTTTATTTAGTTCCTTCCCCATACAGGTCATTACAAAGTCCTGAGTAGAGTTCCCTGCACTTTACAGTAGGTCCTTATTAGTTACGTGCAAATGTCAATCCCAGTTTACCACCCCACTTTCCCCTGGCAACCACATTTGTTTTCTCTATCTTTACTGGAGTTTTAGATTCACAGCACAATCTGGAGGAGTCTACAGAGATTTCCCATATACCTCGGATCCCCATACATGTGTGGCTTTCCCCGCATTAGCAACATCCACTGGTTACAATTAATGAACCTAAAATACACTGACATATAACTAGTCATCCGAAGTCCATAGTTTACCTGAGCCTTCAGTCTTAGTAGTGTATAACCTGAGTTTGGACAAATGTAAAATGACATATATATATATATACCCATCATTATGATACAGAGTATTTTCACTACCCTAAAAGTTCTCTGTGCTCTAATGGTAATCTGTTTTTAATTTCAAATACTACTTGTTCATTACTGGTATATAGGAAAATGATTTTTTTTATATTTATCTTGTCTCCTGCAACCTTGTTATAATCATGAGTTTATAATTAAACTCGCAGTTTTTTGGTCAATTCTTTCGAGTTTTCTGCATAGGTTATTATGTCATCTGTGAACAAAAATAATTTTGTTTCTTCTCTTTCTGGTGTCTGTACCTTCCATTTCTTTTTCATATCTTATTGACATCCTAATAAATGGTCTTATTCTGATGACATGAGTATCAAAGCTAGAGATTTTGGGGAGAAGGAAGATAGATCTGAAAGAAGCACTG